ACACACACACACACACACACACACACACACACACACACACACAGTGTCTCAAGGAAAATGTCTCTAGCAATACTGGGTCCTCTGAACACAAACTGCTTCTCATTAATTTTTCTCATATCCTTTGTGTGTTTTCATTATTTGTTATGTTCATAATTTATAAAGTGGGCTTTTTAAAAGTATTTTTATTTTACATATGTATTTGGTTATACATTTGCAAAACCAAATTTGCCAACACAATAAATACAAACATATGAAAGCAAAACACAGAACAAAATGTTGTATTCAATATTTTTCTAGTCCTATTACTGGACTAGATCTTGAAGATATTTAGATATTTGAATAACTTTACCCATGTGAGTAGTCTCATGGAGTTCAGTAGGACAACTGGGTAAAATTTGCAAAAGCATCTAAGTGACTTAGGTGCTTTTGAAAATTTTACCCACTTACACAAATGATGTTGCTAACCTAGTGAAGTGATTTCAATGACGGCCCATATTTTGTATATAAATGTGTTTGTTAGATTGCATGATAGACAGAGAATCAGTTTTGACATTTATACTATGGCAAAATGTAATTTTACCATTTTAAATGTCTATGCACTTAATATTCCATTTGCTACACATACTTCTTTAAAATAAGAGTTCTTGAAATATTAAAGCCTCTTAAAAGAATCCATCACAAGTATTCAGACATATTCTGGGTCTTTTATTGAGGGCTGGAGGCTTTGGGGTTGATGTGGGGAAAGTTCTTTGCTTTGAATGATATAAATAGGATTTTATATAAATAGGATACATTACTGGGAAATATATCAATGTCATATTGTAATTCATAATGTAAACAGACAAAATAGATGTGTGAATTAGTACGATAACTGTTCAGATGACTTGATATTTCCACAAATCTTTTCTCCATCAGTCTTTGTTTGCATTGACAACCAATATATAATTTATAAGGCTTCCCTGCTTCTGTCTGACATTAAAGTGCTCGTGTGCTGTTTAGGCAATACAAAGTACTGAAGGCCACACAGCAAGTCAAGGTAGATATTTCCAGAAAGGGGCTAAAAAGGAGACTCTTTTATAACTGAAGGGCAAGAAGAAAAATAGAGACACAAGGTGAATGAGGTAATATTTATCTGTTGGTGTAAGAGAAGCTTTTGAGCTCCACAGAGCTCTTCTTTAGGTCTGGAAAAGGTAATCAGTGTCACAGCTAAATACAAGAAAGAACAGATTGCTAAGCATAAGGCGTTAACACATGTTGGAAGAAACCTAGCTGTGACACTCCAATTACTTTCTCAGACCTGAAGAAGAGCTCTGTGGAGCTCGAAGGCTTGGCTCTTTCAGCAACAGACGTTCGTCCAATAAAAGATATTATGTCACCCACTTTGTCTCTCATATCCTGGGACTAACATAAGAACATAAGAATGGCCATACTGGGTCAGACCAAAGGTCCATCTAGCCCAGTATCCTGTCTTCCGACAGTGGCCAATGCCAGGTGCCCCAGAAGGAATTAACAGAACAGGTAATCATCAAGTGATCCATCCTCTGTCATCCATTCCCAGCGTCTGGCAAACAGAGGCTAGCGACACCATCCTTGCACAACATAGCTACAACAACACTGCAAACAAGATAAATATTTTAAATCACTTTGCAGTTATTGCTAGAATATCCAGAATGCTCATGTCTCTGTGTGCATCTTTCCGTGCCATTTCTGCTACTGCAGGAGCACACAACAGAGGAAAAGAATTTTGGCCTGTTTCTCTCCCAACGCACATCCCTACTCCACCCATTATTTTACAAAAAGTTACAGGTTCTACAGCTGCTGGCTCTTGTTGAGAAGTTTGCAGAAGTGTTCCAAGATTTACTGAGTGAGGGAGCATCTCTTTATGAAAAGAAAAAAAAATTGGAAACATTTAGAAAGTTGATGTGTCCTTCGCAGTGTTTCGTGGGAAAAGCTTGACAGCTTGATAGTCATGTTGAAATATAGTTGCAAAACTTACAAAAATGTGCAGAAAAGGGAAATGACTGAGGCCAAAGGGCAAGAATACAGATTCAAAATTAAGGCCCTGATCCGTCAACTTATGTGTGAGAGGCCTGTTGCACCCACAATGAACTCCACTGGACTTCAGTGGGGATAGTTGTAGATACAGCAGTCTCCCAAAACACACCAAAAAATTGCTGGGTCAGAACCTGAAATAGATGTGATCAGGGATCTAGTTGTTCTCATTCAGAAACTGGATTTAAAAGTTCCCCAAATCACCTATATAACATAAGCTTATCTTCACAAATAACATTCCAACTCTGTGGGTGCACAGCCTAACCACACAAATCGGGGGTTGTTAGTGAATTGCCATTGGATTAAATATTATTCATAAAAGGTGGTGGTGGGGGACCATCTTAGGTGTAGTTATGTTTTTCTATCACTCTTGGGTTTTTTTTATGCAAAGTGGCATTTGAAAAGATTACAAAGAACTATCGAAAGCAAGCATTCCAGTATCCTTTCCTGGAAAATATGCATGAAATAAAAAATATAAAAGGAAACTTTTTAAATAAAGTAAACATATTAAAACTTTAGCCCTATTTGTCCATCTAGCATTAGTCTCCCTGGAAACAATAAAAAGAGCACCTGTCAGCTAAGATCAAGATCCCTCATGTGCAAAACTTCAGCTGATGAGCTGTGTTTTGGGATCTGCAATTACTGGTTAGCAAAGTGAGATACAGAGAATAGGCTCCCAATAACTAAAATTTTTGAATTTTAAAATAGTAGGGATATTTTTAAAAGAGTAACTTTTAGTAAGCTTGTACATTTTTTTAAACTCTTTTTTAAAATGATTTAATATTTTTAAAAATCGATTGTGCAGTTATACCAAACACCATGCTCCTGGATGGTCAAAACCAGAGTGCTTTAGCCTCACACCTCACAATGCACCAAAGGAGCATGAAAATTCGTAACCAAACCTGGTCGGTCTAATTTTCATACAGATGTACAGCACTAGGCACATGTATGGACATGTATAGATAAAGCATCAATTTTAAACGGCAACAAAACTAGACCATCAAGAATGGTTAACATTTTACATTCGAAATGCAAAAGTTATATATTACAGCCATTACAATTCCACAGTGCTATGAAATGGTTTCAGTAGAATGGTCACATAAATTGAAAAGAAAACTAATGTCTCTGCAGGCACTGGAAACCAGAGAGGAAATTTTCTCCCACATGGGACACTCTGCAGCCAGCTAATGAATCTCTCAACCACAGCCTTTTCTTCCTGGTAATGTGTCTTTTTTTGTAAGAGCAGAGATTGTGGGCCACTTCATGAAACATCAGGAAGAAAATCAGAGAGGGCAGTTCTTTGCAAATAAACCTTAGTTTGTCTGCCATTTATATAACTTCCCACCTGTTCCTCTGTACGCTCCATATATAACTTGCTTATTCAGCTTATTATCTAGGACCAAGGTACATATGTGACCCTCCTTAGCATAGTATCTGAGCTTATCATGCAAACATTAGACAAAATCCTATTAATTAGGACTATCATAACCGAATAGCAGATGTAGTTTTCCAACATATACACAATTTAAGTGCATCAGAAGTAGTCGTTCTCACAAACTCTCTTCCCAGCTCTATCTTTAAAGTACATAATGCCTAGTCAGATAATTTGGGGGCTTCTAGCTTTGGTAATTGGCATCAAAGCATGGTTCTTCAAAACTGCCATAACAGTGGCCCAGTCAATGGCAGGAGTACGATCCAATTTAACTCAAGGAGCCCTCACTAAGATTTCACAGAGCCTTAGGGCACGTCTTCGCGTAGCTGAAGTTGCGTATCTTAGGTCGACCTCCCTGTAGTGTAGACCTAGCCTTAGATATACAGAATGACCATAAGTTGCCAAGCTACATCACTTCCTCAAAGAGAAACTAGAATCTGAAGTGGTATAATTTGTCCAACAACATTTATTCACTTTAATCTCCCTTTAATCCACCAGAGATTTGATGTAGTAATTTAAAATGTAGTTCTGGGTGAACTTGATTAATTAGGTTTGTGAGAAAAGTCACCTCTTACTGTATGTGTTTTGGAGCGAACTCAATGGGTTATAATTAGGCACAAATATGTATATTAGATCTGCCAAATCAAATATATATTGGAGATTTGAGAAAAATTATAATTAAATGCACATCTTTATGAATTGTTCTTCAATTTTTATATTGGCACTAATTGATCAGTTACAAAAAAAAAAAATTTTTTTTTCAGTTTTCTGTAGCATAAAACAGTTCCTACTGAATTTTATAAACCGGTATGTGAAACTACTGTTTTCAGGTATGATAATGAACTTTAGGGATGGTTAGTAAAGAAAGTATAGGACATCGTTCTGAAACTTTACATAGTTTTTGTATTTTCCTACAAAAGGTACTTGTATCCCAAAAAGTCTTTAAACAGATTGCTTAATAAGTGAGAGCAAAAAAGACTGTTGGTACTAAAGCCTTTACTGTAATAAACCAAATATATTTACAATTTATACAAACATTTGACCTTCAACAAAAATACAAAAACATATCACAAGATGCAAAACCAGAAAACAAGTTTGTCTCAGACACCACCGCTCTACACAGGACAGAATGCAAGTTGAACTGCAAGGAAAAGAAAGGTAATCCCACATATTCAGGCAATGAGAAAGATCTGCATGAGGTCACAAAGAAAGAAAGAAAAATAAAAGGCTTCAACATTCATCAGCAGACTCAGTTTTTTTAAATCCACAAAACCTAGGCGACATCTGTCCATCTTGCCTTTGTGTTTCATTTGGTCCAGGTAGCGGATACCTAGTTGCTGGACGTTGCCTTCTATTTTATTTTGTATACTTGGAGTTGTTTCATGTCAAGGTCTGGAAACTGATATTTTGTTCCTTTTTTAAAAAGGTAAAACCTCTCTACTTCTACAAATTAAGAACATTTGGCCCAGTTCAACTCTATAAGTTATGTCCCCATCACATTTTTCAGTAGATGACTTCATAGACTGTAGCTTTCTTGTCTCCAGAGCCAGTGACTATATATTTATCATCCACAGAGATGTCACAACTAAGCACTGATGAGGACTCTTTGGACTAGATGGGGGGGGAAAAAAACAACAATTTTTGTGTTATTAATTTGTTCAGTAACTGCTGTTCTTCAAGACGTATTGCACTTGTCCATCCACTTCAGGTACGTGTGTGTGCCCAGTGAACGAGAGATTTTTCCTTTAGCGGTACCCTTTGGGGAGGCGAATGCACCATTAGCCACCTGGTGCTGCTGCATGATGGTATAAAGAACAGAGCCACCCCAGACCCTCTGTTCCTTCCAACCAGATGAACTCTGATAGAGGGTGCATCATGGAATGGACATGTGCAACGTATCTCAAAGAACAACAGTTACAGAACAAGTTAGTAACCGTTTTTAATTCTTCAAGCGACTGCACATGTCCATTCCACTTCAGGTGACGCACAAGTAGTACAATCCAAAGGTGGGTTTTGGAGTCTACCTGAACAAGGATTGAAGAACTATTTGTCCAAAAGCGGCATTATCTTTGGAATGCTGAGATATAGCACAGGGGTAGGCAACCTATGGCACGAGTGCCGAAGGCGGCACGCAAGCTGATTTTCAGTGGCACTCACCCTGCCTGGGTCCTGGCCACTGCTCCAGGGGCTCTGCATTTTATTTTAATTTTCAATGAAGTTTCTTAAACATTTTTAAAAACCTTATTTACTTTACATACAACAATAGTTTAGTTATATATTATAGACTTATAGAAAGAGATCTTCTAAAAACGTTAAAATGTATTACTGGCACGCGAAACCTTAAATTAGAGTGAATAAATGAAGACTCGGCACACCGCTTCTGACAGGTTGCCGATCCCGGATATAGCATAACTCGTAATAAAGGTACACTGATGACCAAGTTGCTCTATAAATGTCTGTTATAAGTATATGAGCCAAAAAAGCTGCTGAAGCTGCCTGAGATCTTGTAGAGTTTGCTACCACCCTGTTTGGAGGGGGGTACATAGGCAACATCATAGCACAGATGTATGCAAGATGAAATCCTCCGAGTTGAGACTGGAATTCCTTTCATTTTGACTGTAACTGACACAAACAGCTGGGACAATGATCTATAAAACCTAATTCTGTCCAAGTACTCTTCTAACATCCAAGATATGGAACCTCTCCTCATCCTTAGGAGAACAGGGCTTAGGAAAGAAAGTCAGTAAATATATGGCCTGATTAAAGTATTGGAGTTCCACCTCAGTCAGGAATTTCAGATGTGGGCACAAGTATACCTTGTTCTCATAAAAAACTGAGTAAGGAGGGTCAGCTACCAGAACTCGTAACTCCACCACCCTTCTCATGAAGGTAATAGCTACCAAAAACATTGCTTTCATAGACAGATGAGGTAAAGAGCAGGTAGCCACTGGTTCAAAGGGCAGACCCATCAACCTTGTTATCACCAGATTTTGGTCCCAGGGAGGAATGGGATCCATGACATGGGGATATAGCCTGTCCAGACCTTTTAAGACTCTGACTGTTATAGGATTAGAAAACTCTGAGTGGCCTGCAATTGGTGGGTGGAGAATGGAGGTAGCTGTCAGGTGAACTCTGATGTAAGTAATCTATAGGCCTTCTTGTTCAGATGGAACAAACAGTCCAAAACATGTTGGATAATGGCCATGACTGCAAAAACACCTCTCTGCTTTGATCAGAAGGAGAACTGTTTCCTCTTCAACAGGGAAGCATATCTAGTAAATGGCTTCCTGCTATTCATGAGAACATAATACTCCAGCTCTAGAGACGTTAACTATGGAGCACCCAGGCAGTAAGATGGAGAGTGGCCATGTTGGGATGTAGCAGGCAACCGTGGTCCTGGGAAATAAAATTGGGTTCTGTAGATAGTGTCAAAGGAAACCTGGCAGAAAGGCTAAGCAGACTGGAGAACTAACACTGGCTAGGCCAACTTGGTGCTATGAGGGCCATACAAACATGACCCTTCTTGGGCTTGAGAAATAGCGGAATAGGAGGGAAGGCATCCAGCAGTTTGTCTTTCCAAGAAAGTAGGAAAGCATCTGTCAGCAATCCCTGACTGTGACCAAAAGAGCTGACACTTTGTGAGTAGTTAACAGGTCTATGTGAGGGATCTGGTTTGAAAAATGATCCTCACAAGTTCTGGCCTGACAGACCACTCATGATCTATGCTGAACAAACTGCTCAGGCAATCTTCCAAGCTGCTCTGAAGACCAGGAAGGTGACAGGCTTTGAGATGAATTGCAAAACTCCCAAAGATGTATCGCCTCTTGACAAAGATTGTCTGACCTGGCCCTTCTCTGTCTGTTCATGTAGAACATCACTGCAGTGTTGTCCATGAGAACTTGTTGAGTGTTTCCCCTGATGTGAGGGAGAAAAGCCTGACAGGCCAGATGAATAGCCCTGAACTCCCATATGTTCACGTGGCGAGCTAAATCTTGATGAGATCTCAAATCCTGCGTTTGTAGGTTTCCTAGGTGAGCTCTCCAACCTAGAGAAGTAGTACCTGTAATCAAAAAGTCAGTGTGGGTAAAGGAGGGGCAAAGGAAACTTCCACACACACATTGGCTGGATCCATCCACTAGACCAGTGCTTCTCAAAGTGGTGGTCCGTAGACCGTGCCAGTCCGCAAGCCATCGGCTACCGGTCCACGACGAGTTTCCTCATAAGAGCGTCAAATAGGATAATAATATGGCACCGGTCCCTGGCACATTGGAAAAAAAAATTGCCGGTCCCCCACATCAGACAGCTTGAGAAGCACTGCACTAGACCAAGGAGGCTATCACTCAAGCCCAAGTACTCAAATCAACATGTCCAATGGGTGATGAGCCAGGAAGTACACTGACCTTAACCAGCTCTGCAACATTTGGAGACGAATTCTGGCATGCCAAACCACATATGTGCAGAAGGCCATGTGCCCCAGTAATCTGAGGCAATATCTTACTGTTGTAGGTGGATGGTCTTTGAGATCTATGGAAATGTTTAACACTGTCTGGAATCAGACTTGAGGTAGGAACACCCGGGCTACTGGAGCATTCAGGATAGTTTTATACATTGTAGTCTCTGAACTGGGAAGAAGATTGACTTGTGCTCATTGTTCAACATAACCAGAACACTGAAGACAGATTGGATCCAGGATAGACCAACTTCCACTTGTAGTTTGGATTGATCCTATACCAGCCAGTCATCCAGGTTAGGAAAGACTTGGACTCCTGCTCTCCTTAAGAATGCAACTACCCCTCCCATGCATTTTATAAATATACAGACTTAGGGCAACAGACAGGCAGAAGGGTCGGATTGCAAATTGATAATGGATATTGTTGACCAGAAATCTTAGGAATCTCCTGTAGTTTTATGGGACAGCCACATGAAAATGTGCATCCTTCAAGCTGAGGGCAGCATACCAGTCGCTGGGATCCAGGGAGGGGGATGATGGAGGCTAGGGTTATCATGCAAAACCTTACTTTCTTTAACATTTTACAAGTCCAGGATGAGTCTGAGACCTCCTTTTGACTCTGGAATCAGGAAATAATATGAATAGAAACCTCAATAAAGAGGGGAACCTCTTCTATAGCTCCCAAATGGAGATGAGACTGCACTTGTCAGAGGAGTACAACCTTATGAGAGTGTTCTCTGAAGAGAAGTGGGGAAGGAAGTTGGGTGGGGGGGAGTGGAAATAAACAGCAATTTCACAGTACCTAGGACCCCCTGATCTGTGGTAATATGGGACCAAGGATATAGGAACCGGGATAACAAGTCAGAAAAAATATAGGAGGGATATTGCAGATTCCATGGTGTTGGCTGCTCAATCTACCCCATCTAAGGATGCTTGCAGAGTGGTCTGAGAACTACAGAATATTGTCACAGAGGGAGAAGTCGTATCTGGCCAATTAGGCTTGTTGGCTAAAGATATGAAATTGCAGCCCAGATGTGGAATAAATTTTCCTATCAAAAAGGTCTAATTTCTTCATATCTTTGTCCTTTGGTGTAGAAGATGGTCAATCCTGACACAGGCTCATTCACCTCCAAGACAACTAAGGAACCTGGCAAAGGATGGGTATAAAAATGTTCATAGCCTTGAGAAGGGACATGGCACCCTCTGTCAGTTCTCTTAGCTGTGAAAGGCAGAGGATAGCATTTGCCACAAGGATTTTGTAGGTATTGATGGGCAGAGCCACTCTAGAAGGCCCTGCTGAACCCATAATGTTGAACTCAAAAGCCTGTGGGAACTCTCCTGGAACCACTTCAGCAGGAATATCAAAAGAGGTAGCTACTCTCGATAAACCCTGATGTCATCCAGACAGGTGAAGAATCCTGGGGGACTATAGTCTCATCAGATGAGAGGAGGAAAAATACAGAGGAGGCCGAGGCTAATCCTCTTGTGGTGCAGTGGGTCAATGTTTGGAAGCATGAGTCTGGTCTTGAAAGTCTTCTTGGTATGGACCTTGTGATCTGTCATCTGCTAGAAGATCTATAAGGCTAGGAAACCAGGGAGGATCTGGAAGTGGGAGGCATGCCCCACAGGTTCCAGTAAGGAATAGATATGGCATAGGACCCCAGCCACAACTACTCCAAAGATCCACATCTCTGCACATGTAATAGGTAAGAGGAACGGAATTCCTGCAATGAAGGTGAAGGTGAGCGTTGTCGTCTAACCCAGGAGTGAGGGACATAGGAGCCTACCTCACAATCCGAGAAAGACCCTGATTCGCATGACCATGGTATGGTGCCAAGCAGCACCAGAGCCTGGGGGTCTCTCTCCAGAGATATCGGAGCTGGGGACAGCATGCTGTTTACCTCTGGATTGAACTGAGCGAGAAAGCACTGGACACTCCGAAGAGCTAGCCCCAAACAGTATTGAGGGATGAACTTGTCTCTGAGGTAGGTTCATAGCCAGGGCCTTTCACTAGCATGTCTCCTGGACCATCAGAGAATCTGGCACCATGAGACAGAGTAGATCCTGTGCTGCCACATAGGTCTCCAGTGTCATCAGTACCAAGAGATTTTCCTGGTGCTATTATTTTTGCACTGAAGGAGTCAGCACTGTAGTAGAGGTCCTTCTCAATGGCCCAGGCATGGGTGCTGAAGTTGATAACCCTTGATGAGAAGAGGTTGGTAACAGGGAGCATCTCTTCCCAGAGGATACCCTATCTTGTCCTCCAGATTGTTTACTGATGGATGTTCCCAGGGACCTCGATCTTTGAATGATCTAAGACTCGGCTCCTCTGATGAATGGTCTGGTCTTCCATGCTTCTTTCTCACCACTAGAAAAGGGGATTGGTGCTGACTTTCAGAAGCAGTGTCCCAAGGGACAGTCTTCACCAATGCTAAAGTACTTGATGCCCTCCTTGACAGGAAGGTACAGAAGGTGGATGCAGAGCAGCCTGCAGGAGGATATGGCAGTCTCACCTACCTGTCTTTTTTCATCTGGGATTTGAAGTCCCTGCAAATCTGGCAGGGATTTCAAACATGACCCGCAACAAGGTACTTCGGGCAGGTGAAATAAGAATCATTCTTTGGCATAGATTTCTTGTAACCAGCACAAGACTTAAAACCCGAAGACCAACGCATACCTCAGTACTGGGTGTCAGTAACCCACGAATAAGAGGGAACCAATGCTCCAAGAAAAACAACCAATAAAACCTACAATCATCTACCACCAACGAATATCACTAACTTAACTATTTACATAAAAGAAGATAATTTCCGTGTAAAGGGAGAAACTTGCAACAGCATGCCCATGCACTCTGACTACTGATCCCAGGCAGTGCGTAGGAACTGAGGGAGGTCTGGGGCAGTGGCATGAGGGGGCTGAGGGCGCATATGCCACCCCAATGGGTACCACTAAGGGTAAAATTTCCAACTTTGGTGCATTGGGCACAGACACACCTGAAATGGAATGGGCATGTGCAATCACTCAAAGAAAAACATAACATTAAAAAAAAATTAAGAAATTAGGGGTGAGGGGGCTATTACTCTTACCTGGAATATACTGGCTCCATAGGGGGTCCGCCAGGCATTAAGAAGGTTATCTTTTCCAGTACTCACAAACCATTTACCTAGAAGTGTAACAGAAAGGCAATGAGAACGTATAATAAAACATCCAACAACTGACAGATTTTACATTTTCAACTCACATTTATGAAGTTTAACTCAATAGGCATATTAACCTCAGGGGTTATTAGCTGGCTGATTAGCACTATTCAAAGCTCTTGGTCCTAATCAACATGGTTTTTACTTACATCTGTGTGGGGAGGGGAAGGGGGGATATGAAACGCATCACACAGGAATGTTGTTGCTGCTTGTAATAGTAATACTTTTAAAAAAATAACCACTTAGTAAGTAGAAAGCGCTTTACAAACATGAACTAATTCTCACAACAGCCATGGGAGGAAGGTAGATGGGTATTACCATCATTTTACGATGGCGAATAAGAGGCAGAAAGGTGAAGTGACTTCCCCAAGTCATACAGTAAGTAACTGGCAGAGCAAGGATTAGAACATAGGAAACCCTGGCTTCCAGGCCAACTTACCACAGTAAGCAAACTTAAGTGACAACACACAGCTCTCATGAAGATGTAGTTGATACTTGTCTGGTTTATTTACATGTAGTACTTCCACATTGCTGCTCTCCATCCCCACAGCTAGCCATTCACCAGTAGGGCAATATCCAAGGGAAAAGATCTGGGGAAATTAAACAAGGAAAATCTTTATCTTTTTGCAAAGTTAATGAATGAAATATCACAGTGGAGGAAAGAGACTAAAACCAAAACCAAACTGTTCACCAGCAAGAATATCGTTCCAAATCTGACAAGAAAATAGAGGAATATTTAGTTATCTATTCATGTAATTCAAACTATGTTTTAGGGGGGAGCGGGAAGTGAGATGTTATTTAGGCTATCATTGCATTTTTGTGAGCCAATAATCTATAGGAATTCCAAAACATAATGCATGTTTTGGCTTCTAACAGCAAAATAAAAATTTCCCACTTGCACTGGGTTTAGTTCTTGAGTATCATCCTAAATAAACTGGCAAATTAAAAAAAAAAAAGTAGGAAAACCTAGTCACCTGTGATGTGAAGTCATGCTGTTGTAGCTGTCTCCCTTCTCTCAAGTCCCAGGATCTGACAGTATTGTCCAAACCTCCCGTCCAGAGCTTGGTACCATCATTAGAAATGTCAATACAGCTGGCTCCATCTGTGTGGCCCTGGAATTGCCTGATAAAACAAACCAGATTGAATAATGATTTCCTGCCAGAGCTCAAGGTAAACACTGTTGTGTTGTTAGTTTTGGATTCTGTATGTGTGTGTCATCTCTTCTGAGTCTGCTAATGTGCAAGAGCCAGCCCCTCCCACTGGCTGGACATGAAATGCACATATTACAAAAACCACTTTGCAGGTGTTAGGGAAATGATCTGTAATACAGCTAGCTAAACAAAAGCAGTCAAATATTTCCTATCAAATTTTGGGAGGAAGGAAAGCTATTTAAAAACACAAAGTACAAGTATGTTAGCCATCACACCTGGAAAAAATGAATGAATCACCAAGATTAAAACACAGACTATCCAGGGGACAAACTAGTTATTTCTGCATTTTTATTTATCTGTGAATCAAGAAGATAAATACATAGCAGATTTGGTTACATAAATATTAGTAGGAAGGAATCCAGAAAACTAAAAACAACACCGCCACCATGACTGAATCAGCAAAATTATGCCCTCAGTCGTAGTAGGTCATGAGATCCCATAGTCTCTAAACAGTATGTTTTGTTTTAAAGCTTTGCCTTAGGAACTCCCAGCTCTCAGCAACACAGGGTCAACAAGTTTTCCTTGATCCTTAGACTGACATCCTCTGAGATGCTTGCATTTTTCACTAGCGATTGACTTTGGGGAAGTCCTCTGCCTTAGTGTCAAAGGTTGGGGGTTGGGCAGGGGGGGAGAGAGGAAAAAAACTCTTTTGGGAGTCAACTATAAATCATTTACAACTGCCACAATAAAGGTCATGTGGCACGTTTTGTTTTGAGTCACTGATCTGAAAACACAAGGAGTTATCAATTAGTAAAGTAGCAGGCAATGGAAGAATAGAAGCAAACATACAGAGGAAAAAAGTGCATCACAGCACTATGGCAGCTAGTCCTGGTCATTCATGAGAGTGTCATAAAATTTAGAAAGATTTTATTTGTACTCCGACATAATTTAAATACGTAGCAAGGGTCATCCACGTTTTAGGACATGCCAAAATCAAATTTGTGGATCTAAACACACAAAGGGCTTTATACTTGGTGCAAATATGTGGGCCTAAATCCTAAAGAGTGACTAGGATTTGGGTACCTCCTTTTTTTGGTGCCCACTCAGAAACACTTTAAACAGGCCCAGAGTGTGTACTCAAAACTTACTGAAAAACAGGGCCATTCCTAATTTAAGCTCCATTTCCTTACAGTACCATGGATATCTACAAATTTAGTAGCAATGGACCAAAAGTTAGCTTTTCAGTGGACCACAGCATGATTATACTATAAGCTATCCCAGGCAATTCCAGATCCAGCCTCTGCATAATGGCAGAAAGGGATAACATTACCATGCCAGGCACTCACATTTAGAAATGGATTCTGCCTCTAGCACATTTACTGTTTTGTCTTGAAGGCTTAAAGGAAAGTCAGTTACGGAAATGACTTATCTGGGCATTAAGTTAATCATACTCCCTGCCAACCAATCCTAAAAGAATTAGAGATTGGCTGCAAAGAGTATCACTTATTGGCCTCCAAAAAAACGGACCAACTACCAAAAATAGTATCTTAAAAATATGAGAGACGAAAACTGGGGAAGAATGGCAGGAAAAAACCAGAATGCATGAAATTGTTTCAACTTTAATTTAACATTATTTATACTATGGTTAAATTAAACAAAATTTAAGAGCTGCTCCAAGCCTCGTTTAACACCTTTGGTGCATCCCAAAGCCAGTATAATCAACTGTATGCTAAAAAAATCTCAACAAAAAAGGCCAAGATGTTACTGCACAGGAAGTTTCCCAAAGAACACATGGTCAAAAGTATAATGTCTTGTCAACACCCATTTCTCATGCACAATGGACTATTGGTATTTCATGCCTTATTGATACAGTTGGCAGCATCCACACTCTTCTAAATCACTTTTGGATAGTCCAATTTTGTTACCATTTATAAGCAGGTGATTTTCAATACTTATGTAACAAGGGTCAAGACAAGAAAAAGAAACACACCTCAATACTACCCCAAAGTTTGCATTCACTCTTCATCAACCATGAAGATTAAAGTGATATATATCGGTCTGCGGTGATTTGGGGCTGATCCAAAATTCACTTAAGTCCATGGGAATTTTTATATTGACTTAAGTGGGCTTTGGATCAGGCCCTTTATGAACTGTGAGAATGTTTTCCAGGACTAGGCTGAGATCATCACTAAACTAGGATTCACTCTGTTCTCTAGACAACAGGGACTACCTACGTAACACTTTTGTCATGAAACATTATGTAGGAACAATAAATATTTAGCTAATTATCTAAAGAGTAACTTTAGTAAAAATCCTTTTGTAAAGTAAGAATAACTCACCTGACCAACGTCTGATTGTGCAGATCCCACACTGCAATGTTCCCATCACTACAGCAGGAAAAGCAGACCTTGGAATCGGGGCTGATAGCCAGAGCGTAGCAGGCTGGAGCAGATGATGTCAGCTCTGCTTTTATACGAGGAGTTGGTGCTGCCAGGTCCCATATGGATAATGTGCTGGCTTCCCCACCAACTATGAGGGTGCATCCATCAGGCAGCAATTTACAGGAGCGGATGTAGTTATCTCTGTTCTGTATAATACAAGCCACCTCAGTTACATTAATACATTCCTACTGATAATAACCAATGACATGATCCATTCTGCATCCAAGTTTTAAACAGTAGGCTGTATTTTCCTGCTGCCAAAGTACACAAAATTCACCAGCAGATTCTAAATGGCTTCCATCTCCTACCTCTCACCACTGAGCAGAGAGTACAGCTGTAGAAATTAAGCTACAGTTTTCATATTGCAAGTACGGAAGCCTACTGTGTTTTGAATCTGATGGGTAGCAATTCTTACATCTCATTGCAAACTGACAGAGCTAAGCTAACAGAGCCAAGAGCTTGCTTGCTGTACAAGTGCACTCCTTCTGCTATGACTGCCAACACTGCAGGAATATTTCTGAAAGAGCAAATGACCTCTTACTTTGGCAGTGTGAAGAAACCATCTATGAAAAACAGGTTGTAAGACCAATGCCGTCCTAGAGTTTTTTTCCTTAATCTCTATTTTGTGCTTACTATTTATACACAAACGCTGCACCTTTTATGCCCTGACTGCTTTTAACCTGTTTCTTGGGACTTAAACTGGGTCTTCATTTGTCAGCAGGGCTCTTACCACATAACTGGTTTCACATTTGTGATAATGTTGCTGACTAAAAAGTACTAAGGGGAAACAGTCCAGGCTTCAGCCATTACAAGTTTTACTCCATAAATTATTGGCTGTCATGATTTCCTCACTTTAAATAGCAAAATTATTGTGATGAGCGCCAAAAGGATAAAGCCTATAACTCCAAACATATAAGAAACCAATATTGCTATTTGTTTTGCGTTACACTTTCCTTAGTACAGCAGGACAATCATTTTTTGTGGTAGCAGACCTTGTTGGCCCTGTTGTAAGCAGCAATAAGACTACATAACCTACACATAGATAGCTATGAATACTGCTTCCAGGACTGCATCCTCCACATAGCACATCATATATATTCAGCAATGATATTTGATGGCTAACACTGGGATAGTAATGAAGAAGGTCACAGCAAAGCCTGACTGTATACCTTGGCTTGTACCAACACCATTGAATATTGAAAGCAAACATGCTGTTTTAAATAGGTACTATAGGGATTTATAGCTTATACCCTTAGTAGAGCACTTGCCTTCACAGTTCACATTTTACTGGTTGCCTTTCTTTCCAACCTTTTTCAGCTGGTTGTATTGGTTGTGGAGCAGAGCATGGTGTATGAAGCTTCCTGAACTAGTTGAGCAGGCACACCCTGCCTGCTCCATGTTGTATACAGCACTGAAATCCTTGTCAGCTCTCAGATGTACGTTTATGTTCCGAACAAGAGCAAATACATATTAAGTTTGAGACCACACCCTGTACTGTAATCAGGCACTGTAACTACCTTCTATTTAAATGAACTGTAGCAAAAGAGAAATACTTATGGAATGTTCTAGGCATCACAGAGCAAGAATGACTGCATTCACTTTTTGTCACTTTCATCTCAACTAATGGGGAAATCCCCATTATCTGCAAGAGGGAGAACTGGGGACAATTTCCATTTAAAAGACATCTGTCCAGTGCAGCATTTGATTGTTACTGATCATATTTGTGATGAATAAACTACGATTCTTCCTCACCACTGCCACCATTTTATTTTAAAAAATAGTTACATACCTAATGCAGGAAACAGAACTGCCTGATATTTCCTTATAATATGAATAAAATCCAGGCCTGGAGAGCTATTTCCTTATTGAGTCTCCAAGGAGAAGTTAACCTTGTGCACAAGTTACTGTTTGCTTACCAGGCAGTCCAGCTGAGAGACAGGGCTCTTGTTGCCAGGTTGGCTAATATCCCAGACTTTGACACATCCCTTTCCCCCAGTGTACACGTGTCTTGTGGGGTTGCTGATGGTAACTGCACACACTACTTCCCCATGATTCAGGGTATTGATCTGACGAGCATGGCGAGGGATTCCTGGTCCAATGAGGGCATCAGGAGGGAAAGGTACAGGCTGCATCTGACCATCTGCAGTAACGTGAAAGGAGTATGCTCTTTTTGGGAAAGAGGGAAGAGGAGAGAAAAAGACAGAAAGAATTAGGTCAACCATTACATTGCTGAGTTGTGAGAAATAAGAGCAACCTTTAGCAGTTCCTTTGCTTGGCTAATTTTATTTTTCATATTATATCAATTTAAGCTGCAGTGCCAAATGCTATAGGCACAGAAAATTTGGGATGGGACGAGACCACTCACAACAGACAGTTCCATCTCCTCTTGCATGCGAAGTAATTAGAGCAAAAAATAAAAGTGCATTAAGTGGTACGATTAACAAATTCCCTTAAAAAAAAAGTCTACGTCTATGAGGTCATAGCAACTACTTAATCATCTTTTAGCCTCAGGGAATTTAACCAAACACCTAGACTGCAAGTATGAACTAAATATGAGTCAACAGTGTAACACTGTTTCAAAAAAAAAGCGATCATCATTCCTGGATGCATTAGCAGCAGTGTTGTAAGCAAGACACAACAAGTAATTGTTCTGCTCTACTCTGTGCTGATTAGGCCTCAGCTGGAGTACTGTGTCCAGTTCTGTGTGCCACATTTCAAGAAAGATGTGGACAAATTGGAGAAAGTCCAGAGAAGAGCAATAAAAAATGATTAAAGGTCTAGAAAACATGACCTATGAGGGAAGATTGAAAAAATTGGGTTTGTTTAGTCTGGAAAAGAGAAGACAGAGGGGACATAAGTTTTCAAGTACATAAAAGGTTGTTACAAGGAGGAGGGAAAAGAATTGTTCTCCTTAACCTCTGAGGATAGGACAAGAAGCAATGGGCTTAAATTGCAGCAAGGGAGGTTTAGGTTGGACATTAGGAAAAACTTCCTAACCGTCCGGGTGGTTAAGCACTGGAATAAGTTGCCTAAGGAGGTTGTGGAATCTCCATCATTGGAGATTTTTAAGAGCAGGTTAGACAAACATCTATCAGGGATGATCTAGATCAAGGGTCTCAAACACACGGCCTGCGGGGTTCTTTCGTGTGGCCCGCCAAGCTCCCCGTGCCCCCCCACCCATGGGCCCCCCACCCCTCTGCCTACCCCATGGCACCACGAGCCCCGCGCAGCTCCCTGAAGCGGCTGGAACTATGGCCCTGCAGACCCGGTCAGGGCGGGGGGTAGAGAAGTAGAGGGCTCTGTGCTCTCAATTCCAGGCACCGCCCCCTGCAGCTCCCATTGGCCAGGAATAGGGAACCGCGGCCAATGGGAGCTTTGGGGGAGGTACCTGGAAGAGCAGCACATGGCGCCGTTTTCCCCTGCCCCCGGGACTCCGGCTGCATCCTGGAGCGGAGCGGAGCACAGCGGGACCAGGGCAGGCACGGAGCCTGCCCTGGCCACGGTGTGCAGCGCTGCCACCCCGGATCCGCTCTAGGTAAGTGGCTCCGGGCCGGAACCCACACCCCAACCCCCCTGTCCAGAGCCCCCTGCCACATCCGTCACCCCAACTCCCTGCCGAGCCCCCGCCGCACCTTGCACCCCGACTGCACCCCTCACCCTCCTGCACCCCACACTTCAACTCCCTGCCCTGAGCCCCTGCCGTACCCTGAACACCTCCTGCACCTCAACTCCGTCCCCTGAGCCCCCGCCATGCCCCGCACCCCTCCTGCACACCATCTGAGAATGAGTGAATTGAAACGGATGGCTGTGATGTGGAGAACAGTAGCTAAATAAAGATACTTTTTTCAAGGAAAAACGTATATAGGCAGATGCCCCACATGTATTACTTTCACAATACTCCACTAATAGAAGTTAGGGCCTAGTGTTTCTGTTATAGCTCAAAACCATTATAGGACAAAACCTTTTCACTAACTTAACACATTTTATTGCCTTGGTGAGATTCCAAATTTTGTCCTAATGTTTTTAATACATGTCTGATTCACATCACAAAGACCAATACTGCCATCAACGCTGATGCCACATTTATGACAGTCTCAAAAAGGCCAAAAACTGAATGAACATGGAGAGGAGAATGAACTACTTGCTCACTAATACAAATTGGGCAGTTTGAGTCACATTGTTTGGTGCTCTCCCTTATTATCCCTTTTATTTTTCCTTAAAATATCCTTTTCATAAAAGGATGATCAAAGTGTCTACTCTATACTCCAAATGCAGCCTTCCTACAGCTTCTCAGTCAGTGTAAATCAGATGAAATGCAGTATTACATGCATTATTTAATTCGCATTCTATCCTAAAACTATTACTCTCGGATTTTTCCGATTTGTGTTTTCTGTAGTATGTGCTATAACCAGGAATTGAAAAACCCACTAAAATGGGGCGAGTACGCTGACTAGGGATGGGGAGAGAATAGATAGAACAGCTGGCGCCTTCCCTTGAAGGAAAGAATTAAGCCTGAGAGCAGAGCAGCCCAGATATCACTAATGATCTTTCAGTATGGAAGGAAGGAGCGGAAGAAGAGCAGCCCCGTGCTATTATTGTTTTCTGAAAAGGGAAGCAAGCTGCATTTATGTTAAGGCACGGATGTTTCTTATAGCTGACCACATGTGGTGGAATTCATACTTGAGTGAATGCACACAGGTGAATGGGTACGGATGAGCGTGAGCAAGAAACAGAATGAGGGGGCTATACTAGCCAAGAAGTGAAGGAGAGAAAGATCTTCAGGAAGATGTGTGCAAGAGAAAAATGTAGAACTGGAGGTAAAGAACAGAAGATAACATTGGGAAAGAATAAGAAAAGGATACAAGGGCATGGAGAGAAAAAGAATGGAAGGATACTCACTCCAAACAACACAATGTATATAATAGGATGGAAAATTTGAGTAAAGGGGAAACAAGATACAAGAAAAAGCACAAGAGACAAAGTTATATTGTTGCAAGACTTATTAAATGGGAAGTAGATTGATAATGCAAAACATAATCACAGTATTCTTTTAAATTGTCTAGGGCCTGGCTTTTGGGGCTGTGACAGCACAAGTGTTTGTCACATACTAACAGTAGATGTTGGGAAAACTTCTGAAGCCCCCTAATAAAATAATTTTAATATAAAATGTTCAAGTTTTATCACGGTACATTCCTTGCATAGAACTGAATATACCATTTATCTTCATGATGCTGATAGCCAGACTCATATTGCCCTCTCTCTTTTTTATTGTTTGTCTCAGGTTTGTAGCACTTCCTTTTAGTTCATTTCCTCCTTCAGGGCACAGGAACAAAGTGAACACTAGCCCTCAACAGTTAATATCGTGTAGGTGACTCCACTGGTTATAACTCCTTTCATCCAATGAGTAGTTTCCATTTATAAATACCATTAGTATTTGATTTAGAGGGCAGTTCTTTACTCACTCAAAAAGCCCACTGTTCTAAATACCATAATTACTGCCAACGTTGTTACCCTAAAAACAGACAAAAACAAAGGGATGAACAAAATGAGGCCCTGTGATAAAAATACTATGTGATTATGTAATTAATGACTGTCCCATAATGCATGTGCATGGGAGCAAAATTAAGGTTGCACAGCTAACCATAAGTCTGGCATTTCCTAACTTTTGACTTTGCAAGCCTAATAGTGTTTTTTTACACATTGCTTTTTTAGATGTAATTTCCCAGGTTTTTTAAAGTAATAAACGGAAAAGGCTGAAATTCCACATCAGGCTGGCACCACCAGGTGTCATCAGCAGGTTTGGAATCTTTATATCTACCACACTCCACATCAGTGTGCCACTTGAGCTCAGGGAGAAACTGATAGAAGGCTGTCATCCTCTATGTGGACCAGCCCTTCAGTGGATTTCACAGACATTTATTGAGAGCAGAAGAATTGGAATCTTGAGTTCCATTCCAGGCTCTTGAGGGGAGTGTGATCTAGTGGGTACAGACACTTCTGTCTGTTTCCCCCAAGACTGACCCCTTCTGCTGTTCCCCCCAGCCCATCCCCGTCCTCTTTTCCTCACCTCAGCTCCTCATTCGGTCCCATTCTTCTCACCTAGCCAGTCCCCACTCATAAGGCTTCTCATCCCAATCCCTGTGCCCTTGCCCAGCAAATCCTAGTCTCAACTCCTTCCGACTCCCCATTCCAACCTCAGTCTCTATCCCTTTTCCAGTCCCAGTCTGCTTATCCAGCCAGTCCAAGCCCCCCTCACGCACTGGCTCCTTGTCTGATTTGTCTCCCTGGTCTTCATGCATACCCATGATCCCTTCCCCAGTGGCTCCAGTCCAATGCTTCTCCCCAGGCTCCTTATCCAATTTCACTGTCCCCCTACCACCTGACTCCTTGTCTCAAGCTCTTTGCCGAGCCAGTCCCTGCAATTTAGTTGCTAATATCTAGCAGGTCTTTATTGACCGGGTGTGATTTTTCAAAGGTTTGTAATCCCAATTTGGGCAGATTTTCCCAAGGGTGGCAAAAGGCATAGTCCTGACATAAAGGTCACCCCTTGTCAAATTTCATGTCACCACTCCAAAGCATGGGGGTCCTTGAGTTTTTCAAAGAAAATGTCACCAGAATTTTTCCACATGTGCAAAACAATAAATTTTTCCCTACCCTCATTCTCGGAAGTGACTTAATCATTTTTCCCCGAAACTTTTTTTTTTAAATTCAGCCTGAGGCAGACATCAGGCATGGTAAATTTCAGCCCAATCGTCTGAAGTTTGACAAAGTTAGAAGCAATTGAAACCAGGCTCTTATAAGCAGACATGTCAGGCAATCTTAATAATAGACAGTGCTACCAGTCCCAGCTATAATAAAAGCACATACAAACTAAACGAACACCACTGAAAAAGGCATTTCTTACATTCTCTAGGAAGAGATGCATTCCCCTCCCATTTCCCTTTTTGGTTAATTTTTACTCTTCAAGTCTCCTCATACACAAGAGCGAAGATTAACCCACAAGGATGCTGGAAACTTCTATTTGTGTATAATGGACAAGTAACAGATAGTCTGTAAGTAATTACATTAAAACGTATGACAAACAACCCTGCCCTGAAAAAAACCCTAAACATTATTTAGGTTACAAAGTCAAGCTCTTTAAAGTTAGGAAATGCCAAAACTGAGGT